GCTCCTCACGCCTCTGTCCCCCCAGGTCCACTTCCAGAAGGAGTGCGGGCAGGACAACAAGTGCGACAGCAACCTGCAGATGCAGGCGGCCTTCGTGTCGGAGCAGGGGCAGCGGCTGAGCAGGTGCACCCTGGGCCGCACCTATTGGCCAAGGGTGGGGAGGCCTTCATTAGCTACCGGGAGTGAGGGGCGGAGATCCGAGGGGTGGGGCCTCAGAGGGAGGCGAGGCTGAGAGGCTTAGCTACCGGGAGTGAGGGGCGGAGATCCCAGGGGTGGGGCCTCAGAGGGAGGCGAGGCTGAGAGGCTGGACTTTAATTGTCCAGGTAGGATGTGTAACTGACCTACACTGGCCTTTTTTCACCTGGCGAGACTAGAGGGCGGGGCCTGGCTGTCCGGAGTAGGGGCTTTCTAGAGCTAGTAGACCGGAGGGGCGGGGCCTAATGGGGCGGGGAAGGGGCGGGGCTTTGGGCTCAGTCTAAGGCTCCTCCCTTTTCAGGCTCCAGTACAGCAAAGACCTCCGGAAACTGTTCCTGAGCATCAATGTGACCAACACCCCAAGCAGGGAGCGGGCTGGGGAAGACGCCCATGAGGCGCTGCTCACCCTGGCGGTGCCCCCCGCCCTGCTGCTGTCCTCAGTGCGCCCTGTGAGTGCCCAGCCCGGGCTCCATCATGTATTTGCATCCTTAGATGCATGTCATTTACACGTGTTGTCATTGTGTCCCCTCTTCTCTGGGCTGGGCCTCCTCGGGTGTCTGCGGCATCTCTGTTGCTAAGGGAACCCTGTTCTCATGCCTCCAGGGCTTCAGACCCTGTGGTACAGGGACGGGGCGGGACCAGCCCTCCTCTGACCACCCAGACCTCAAGCATCTCTGTTGCTAAGGGGCGGGACCAGCCCTCCTCTGACCACCCAGACCTCATTATCTTCTTTCCTTAGTCTGGAACCTGCCAGGCCAACGAGACCATCCTTTGTGAGCTGGGGAACCCCTTCAAACGGAACCAGAGGGTAAGCCCTGGCCGCATTCTCCAAGGCAACTCCTTTTTCTTCTCGCTTCTGCCTGCCTGCTTCCTGGCCCTCCTTGAAGCAAAGAGCCAGCGTGGGGGAGGAGGAGATCAAGTAAGGGGTGCGGAGAGATCCAGAGACTGAGAAAAATGGAGCCACTAGTGAGCTGTGCACAAAGCGAGAGGCGGTGGGGGTGAGGAAACCAGTTTGGCAGAGCACCTCCTATGGGCCAGGCCCCAAGCCCAACACTTTGCTTCTTCTATATGACTGTAATTCTTACAGCCTTCTGAGGTGGTAGATGCTGTTTTACAGAACGGAAACATAGGCTTAGAAAGTTTTAATAACTGACTTAAGGTCATGTAGCTCAAAAGTAGCCGAGTTGTCACTGACAGAGAAGAGGAAAGGGGAAGCGGAGATGTGACTGGGAAGGTACAAGAGTGGAGATGGGTGGGGAGGTGGAGAGCCCTCACCCAGGATGGGGCGATGAAGAGGCCGGAGAACTGATCTAGCATAGTATTGAGCTCCCGCCCCAGGGCATCACCCCTGCATGGCCCCAAACACATACAAGAGTGGAGATGGGTGGGGAGGTGGAGAACCCTCACCCAGGATGGGGGGATGAAGAGGCCGGAGAACCGACTAGCATAGTATTGAGCCCCCGCCCCAGGGCATCACCCCTGCATGGCCCCAAACACCCCTCTCTGCCTCCCTGGCCATCATGGCAGATGGAGCTGCTCATCGCTTTCGAGGTCATTGGGGTGACCCTGCACACAAGGGAATTCCAGGCGCAGCTGCAGCTCTCCACGTAAGTGACCTTGCAAAGCCAGTCTGTATTGGGGTTAAGGGGTCCTGGGACCTCCCCCAGCCCCAGCCTCAGCTGACATATCTCCTTACCCACTCCCTGCACTTCCTTCCCAGGTCAAGTCACCAGGACAACCTGTTGCCCATGACCCTGACTCTGCTGGTGGACTACACTCTCCAGGCCTCGCTTAGCATGTAGGTACTACCATGATCCCCAGTCTTCTCTTCCTGAGCTAGGGCCTCCCTGTCCTCAAGGTGTCTCCAAGCTTCTCTGACACACCTCTCTTGGCCTGGTTTCCCGAGGCCTTTGCATCCCCTGGATCATCCCTCTCCTTAACAACAACCACTGTCATTGTTGTGGTGGTTATTATTCCTCCTGCAAAGCCAGCAGCAGTGGAGGAATCAGCAACTCTGGGGAATAAGGTGTTGGTACCATCTCTTGACAGCTCATTGTGCTAGGGATGTTCTATACATCATCTCATTGGCTTTTCACAACAGCCCATGATATAGCAACAGTTATTAACTCCACCTTACAGATGAGGAAACTGAGACTCAAATAGGGTCAAAATAACTTGCTTGAGGCCACCCAGCTATGGCCGGACTGGAATTTATCTTAGATCTGACTAATGTCCGAGGGAGTTAACCAACTTGGGTGCCCACCCCCTCTGCCAGAGCCCCTCCTGCCTCCTGTGACTCCAGCATCTTTCTTACCACTAGGGTGAGTCAACGGCTACAAAGCTTCTTTGGGGGAACGGTGATGGGCGAGTCTGGCATGAAAACTGTGGAGGACGTGGGGAGCCCTCTCAAGTATGAGTTCCAGGTAAGGGGACTCTGGGACCCTAGGCCGGAGGCTTCTGGGAAGGGCGATGGGGCAGCTCTTTCTGTCTGGGATCTCAGGCTGTGAGGGTGGGGGTTGGTGAGATGGAGGTGGTTTTCTAGGAGATAGTAATCTTGACACCCTTTGTGCCCACAGGTGGGCCCAGTGGGAGAAGGGCTGGCAGTCCTGGGGACCCTGGTCCTAGGGCTGGAGTGGCCCTATGAAGTCGCCAATGGCAAGTGGCTGCTGTACCCCACGGAGATCACCATCCGAGGCAACGGGTCCTGGACCTGCCAGCCACCAGGAGACCTTGTCAACCCTCTCAACCTCACTCTCTCAGTAAGGACACCACAGGGATCTTTCATTTGCATCTCATTTGCATGCTGCAGGGCAGAAAGGCCAGCGGCTTCCCACCCCTCCCCTCACACTCTTAGGGATCCTGCCTCTCCCCCTGCGCTTTCTTCCTCTCCTCACCTCTGCTCATTCCTTCCTCCCAGCAAAGCTCCTGTTCCCTCTTCAGGTCCCTGAGGACAGACCGCCATCACCACAGCGCAGGCGGCGACAGCTGGACCCGGGGGGAGTGCAGGGCCCCCCACCTGTTCCTCTGGCTGCTGCCAAAAAAGCCAAGTCTGAGACCGTATTGGTGAGTGGCCAGGGTTGGAGAGGGTTGTGGCCACACATCCAGGGGGGTTGTGGAACAAGGGGAATAGGGACTGTTCACCAAGAGACACCAGTCTGATGAGGTGACATAACCCATGTCCTCAGGAGCCCCTAGTCAGAGCAGCTGGACTCACCTGCTGCCCCCAGAGGGCACCTCACTACACTTGCCCTTGGGGGAACAGTCAATACAATGGACCAAAGGAAGAGACACTGGCTCTAGTCCCAGGACCCCCCAACCTGTTGGGGTGATATAGCTGCTCGGCCTTGGACATTAGGACTGGAATGGGGAAGGCGGAGTAGGGTGCCCCTGTCCAAAGGGAGACAGGAGGAGAATTGGAAGGAAGTAGAGGCCTAGCTGGGTGGAGGTGGAGGCAGTATCTGAGGTGGGGGCTCAGTGTGGGAGGAGGCTGGGAAAGGGATGTTGTAGACTGGGCCCCATTTCCATGAGCAGATATCAGATTTCATGTTATCCATGTCCCTGGCATCTATAAGTGGTTGACCCAAAGAATATGTCTTAAACATATACTGGTAAGTATGGGGGGTGAGGGTATGCACGAGTGAAGGGTTGAGGTCAGGGCCCTTTGGGTCAGCCATGGGCAGGGGAGGAGTCAAAGGTAAGGGGCGAAGCATAAAGACTCTGGACACCCAGCCTGTCTCGTGCCCTGTGTTCCCTGCCTACCTCAGAGCTGTGGCAGTGCCCACACCCGCTGTGTGTGGCTGGAGTGCCCCATTCCTGATGTCCCTGTCCTCACCAACGTGACAGTGCGGGCTCGAGTGTGGAACAGCACCTTCATTGAGGTCAGTGCCTGGGTCTGGAGGTCTCCCCTGCCACCTACCTGGGTGGGGAGAACAACAGGGAGAGGGTGAGGCCAGGGTCACAGCAAGGCCTCATGCGTGTGTGCGTGTGTGTGCGTGTGTTTCAAGGACAGCGTCATGTTTTATACAGGACAGGTTGGACACTTGTCATTGCGTGCTGTGTCCGTGTTAGTTTCTGTGCCTGTATGTGGACATGACATGTTTGTCTCCAGCCAAAATGACCTTCTCTCATGTGTCCATTGTTCTGTCATGTGCCCACGACTTTCCCACCTCCATGCCTTTGACGTGCTACTCCTTGCCTCTAGAATGCCAGCTCCCCCTCTTATCTCTGGATGTAAACTCCTATTCACCCTTAAAAGTCCCCTCAGATGCTTCACCACCAGTGAGGTCTTTCCAGCTGAAAATGATCTGTCCTCCGAGATTATAAATCTTTTCAGTTTTGTGAGCCATACAGTTTCTGCTGCAACTACACAGTTCCTCCATGTAGCACAAAGCTGCCGTAGACCACAGTCAATGATTCGGCATGGCTGTGTGCCCCAGATGCTTTACTTACAAAAGCAGGCGGCAGGCCGGACTTAGGCCACAGACCTGACCTAGACTGTGACCTTCATTGTCTCTGTTGTTCTCAGCATCCAGCACAGGATCCGATGCACAAATGAATGAATGATGTGCATTTGTGTGGGGGGAGGCCTGGCTGTCAGATCCTTTGGGTGCTGCTTAAGGATGCTGTGTGGTGAGAGGGTACCCTGGGGGGGCGGAAGCTTAGGGTCAGGAGGGAGGCTCATCTGATTCTTTTAACCCACCCATTTTCCCTGCAGGATTACAGAGACTTTGACCGAGTCAGGGTAACCAGCTGGGCTACCCTGTTCCTCCGAACCAGCGTCCCCACCATCACCATGGAGAACAAGACGGTGCGGGTGAGTGCGCATGTTGCCTGGCCAGGGCCTGGAGCGCAGGGCATCTTCTCAGAGCACTTTCACACACGTCAGCTATGTGGTCCTCGGTCCTGGCAGCACACTGGGATCCTCTGCAGGACTTCTGATGTCTAGGCCACAGCCCTGAGCAATGAGATCTGAGTCTGTGGAGGTGGGACCCGGCAGTGGTTCCTTTAAAAACCCCACTGCTCCGTGATTTTAATGTGCAGCCGTGGTTGAGAACCTCTGCTTGACTTTACTTGGTTCACACAACATCTCCACGAGGATGTCCCATCTCCAAGCAAACTTGGAAAAAAGGTTCCTAAATTTAATTCT